CATCATCTTATAGCGAGAGAGGGGGGTGGACCACACTGAAAACTGGGTAGGCCCTACTGAGCGGGGCACGTAGCCCCCTTTACCCGCGGAGTGAGGCTCCATGGCGGTGCCTTCAAGGGCTGGGCCCTGTGACACAGCCTCGCCGCGTGATGGCTTTTATATCTGGGACCTGCATAGGGCCGTGACGGACTGGACGTTCTGGGGTTTTCTATCGGACCGACAACAGACTATATACAATGTTCCTACTCTTGCCGTTAGTCTTGTCTTTTTTTGCTTCATCGTATGTCTCCTCAATGATGATAGTTTAGAATTTTTTTCTTCCTTTTTCGTTTAAAGCAGCAAAATTTTAACGGTGAAAGAAGAAAAAGACTGCATTTCATGTATATCATCTATTCCTACGCAGACAGAAAGGCAAAAGAAGAATCTATGAGAACAAAAGGATGCGTCTGACATCTACTATACACTATATGTTAGCGTATACTTCTTTTTTTTGTATTAGAGGTGAGTTTGTTTTAATTGTATTTCACATACACATTCTCCTTAAGTTGTAACGATGGGTATGATTTGAGAAACAGCTGAGGAAGCAATATTGAAGTAATGAATTGTAACCATTTTTTGATCTCTAGCAGTTGATAAATTATTGTAAAGGGACATATCGAAATGGTATGATTATTACACTTCAATTACTAAAGCGTTTATTGCTATTTATTTGTACCCAACGATGTGAGATAGGTCTACAAAACTGTCCATAGCGTCTTAATTTTAGAAATTTCATGAAGTTTGCTGCTTTTCTACGATGGTTAAGGACGAATTTAAATTTTCGCATCATTGTCTTTTCAGTAATTTCAAAAATAAACTTTTAAGCAATAAAGCTTTGTCAAATGCTTTTATTACTTACCCAATATTGAGCAGCAAACTTCCTTCCTTCAGTATGTTATGGCTTATATTTTGAGCAACGAACCTATGTGTCTCTTTGCTTTGCTGGAAACCCACACACCCTTCTTTATTTGGCTATCAATAAAGGACGCACCCATGTCAAACTCGTTTTCGTGTTCTCCCTTTTTATTTACTTTTATATATAGTGGATCTATGTGCGATGACCTCGTCTCTTTCTGCTTTCGATCCCCTTCGAACTCCCTTTGTGGGACCGAATGATGTGATCAAATGTATAGAAGTAGATATTACAGGGGATCGTGTGTACGCAGCCACTTGGGGGAACGGGGTTTATGTATGGGAGCTCTTTAAGCGGCGCCAGCTCGCCCTGATGTACCACCCCGACTGGGTTAATGCAGTGCGGTGTTATCCACCTCTGTCTAACACCTCAAAAATGAACAACAAATCCGAGGAGCAGTACACTTCCGTTTTAGAGTATCTGCAAGCTAAGGACCTCAATGAGCTTACCAGTGAGGGTGAGGGTGTGAAGAAACCACTTTATGCCCAAGACGTTTTGTGTGCACCGGCGGTCACAACAGAATGGGTTTTGACCGGCTGTGAGGACGGCGTCATTTCCGCGTGGTGCCCCGTAACCTTCCGTATCCGATCGCAGTGCAAACCTACAGAGAACCCTATCACACAGCTCATCCTGGCAAAGGGCCCCAGATCTACTACATTAGTGCCGTCTAGTTCATTCTACGACAACAATGTGAATAAGACGAACAAAAAGATGAACCTCAAGGAGATGCCTGGTGCGCCGTTCTTGTGTTATGCGCTGAGCCTCGATAATGTTTTTGTTATACACGTGCAGTCCGGATTGCAGTGCATTCACAAGCTATCGCATCCCGAGTATTGCACGGCGGTTGAGATTTTGACAACGCCGTCCATGCGGTGCTTGTTAGTGGGACAGGAAAGCGGGTCGATCAAGTGCTGGACTTTATCTGGGGATAACTTTGAGTACAAAGAGACACTGCATTATCCCGCCGGTGAAGTGGATATTGACGAAGATGCAGAGAAGAGCAATGAAATTCATGCGCCTCAGATGGTCAACATGCGTAATATTCTAACAAATACCTTTTCGTATAATCTACGACGTAGTACCGATCGATCCGATCCTGGGATTCGCCTTTCTCTTGATGAGCAGCGGTCACGCTACGAAATGCACATCCCAGCTTCCATGCCATGGGATGATATGCGTAAGGGCTCGTATACTTTAACCCGTGAACGAGTGTTATCCAGTGAGTTGTCTGAAGATCATTTGACTTATGACCAAAGACGGGTAACATGTCTGTTGGTACCTAAACGAGGTTCTGCACTTAACTGTCGCTTCTTCTCTGGTCATGCTACTGGGGAGGTACTCGTGTGGCAGTCGATCTTTGAGAACCAACCTATTTTATTGGTTAAAAAGATTAAGTTGTTTGACAGCCCGAAACGATGGGTCTGGAATATGCAAACTATTGAAGTTTCAGTTTCGTCTGCGTGGCTTGTTGAGGAACTTTCTGCTAATAAAGAGTCAAAAAATGACATATTTCTGCCTATAAACTACCTGCAGGAAGGTAATTCCAAAAATGTTGAAGTATTTTTTTATCAACTTGTGGTCTGGGCGGACAACGGTCAAATCGTCTACTTGCAGGTTGGAAAAGATATACATAAGACTGATGGCCCCGGTTTTATGGCTACTGCATCCTATTCTTATTCCATAGAAAATGCGTCTAAGGATCCACCGAATGAGATGGAGACCCAATCTACTTTAAAAGCGAAAAATAAGGTTTCAAAGACTGTCCGTCGGTTACCTCCTTTAGCTCCTGGTAAGGGCAACAGTTCGATGAAAAAGTGCATCACGGGTCAGTACTTTATTATCATGGGTAACGCTGAAGGGAGATTAGAGCAATTCAATATATCAAATGTGGTTACTAAGCTTCTGCACGCAAGCATCAAGTCTTAACTATTTTTTTGACAATAGAATGCATATGTACAAACATTTTCTTTATTGCTGGTACTATAATTATCGTCGTTATTGTTGTGGTGTGCATGCTTGCGTTATCTCAATTATAATAAGATGTGTGACAATTCACTTTTTTACAGACGAAGAAAACTTTCGAGATAAATGACTGAACTTTAACACAATTCTTCTCCTCTTTGATATATGTATATTGTTTTAAAAGAAAACTAGTCGTGCACACAAAGCGCAAAATGACCCGCGCCGGCTTCAAGAGTAAGGTTCTCGGTAAGGAGAAGAAGCAGGCTCTGCTCGAGTCTCGTCGTAAGGCCGCGGAGAGCCGCAAGAACCGCGATGACAAACGTTGGAAGCGCGTGCTCGCGAAGATGGACGAGGCGAAGCTGAAGAAGTACCACGGCGTCGGCAATACGGCCCGAAATTCGCGTGTTCGCGGTGTCACCCGTGCGTCTCTGTACAAGCGCACTGGCCGCAAGCCGGATGCCGTGACCATGGAGGCCACGATCCACCTCTCGAAGCTCCTGAAGAAGAAGACCTTCGCGAAGCGCGCGCCGCTCGCGATCAAGCGCATCAAGACGTTCGTGGGCCGGTTGATGAAGACTAAGGACAACCGCATCGACGCCTCGTTGAATACCTTTATTTGGCATAAGGGTGTGAAGGGGGTGCCCGGCCGCGCGAGGCTGATGATCCAGCGGAAGTCGGAGCTGAAAGAAGGCAGCAAGCGCAAGCACTTCTTCACCATTATCTCCCACGTGCCCGTCGCGAGCTTCAAGAACCTCACGACAAAGGTTGTGGAGCAATAAATGCACTAAGATCGATCCACATTTTTTAATGGATTAGTTATTTATTTTATTTCCTAAAAAGACACATATACATCTCATATACTGTTATACGGAGATGATTTCCTTTCTTTTGATGTAATATTTCACACAATCATTTTCCCTTTCTTAACCGCAATTGCGCTTTTCTGTTACATCTGCCGTAACAAAAAAATTACTCTAAAATACCAACTAGTAAAGAAAATAACTCCATTTTTTTTGTTGCAAATAGTTATTGATGTCCTGTAATGGTGAGGAATGGGCAGATAATGCGGCTGATTTTTTCGACGAATTCGCCCAAAATACTAAAGTGTGCGGTGCCAAATCACTTCGAAAACGTAATCGCGAGTTAAAAGAAGGCGATACTACTCAGGCCTTGATCGAATCAAACAAAACCCGTGCGACCCGCGCGGAGGAGGCACGGAGGCGTATCGCAGCTGTGGTGGTAAGCCGCGCGAGTTCTAAAGAAATTGAAAAAGCTGTTGCGTCTATTAAGAAACAGGGTCGTGCTAGAGGTAGCACTTACCATGAAAAAGAAACGCGTCAAGACAATTACCATTCTAAAGGCAGTAGCTTAAGTAGACACACTACTGATGAAAGAAAACAAGTGAGCTTGAAGGCCAAGATCAACAGCACTGTTGGTCCTTCTAAGTTATCTGAACCATTTTCTGTGGTAAAGCAGAAGCAGAGGAAGTCGTTTTCCAGGGGGAGAAAATGAAATGACTAGTAAAATATAAAGTTGTGGAATCATCAGTTTCATCAATAACGACGACGGTAATATGATGCAGCCACTTTTTTGTTCTTTCTTTTTAAGAACTATTTTACTCTCATTATTATTTTTCACACGTTTTCTTCATCTCAACTTTGATACATCGAGGTTATCTGAAAAAGTAGAAGCGAAAGAATGACTATGCATTCCTTATTTTCGTACCTTTTTGTTTGCTAACTATTTTTCGTCTTCTTCTATCATCACTAATTTTTCAAAAAGGAAAATATAGAAATTATTTAGTATTCTTAAATTCTACTTCTTGATATTTTTGATTAAATTTTACTTTTTTTGTGTGTTTACTCTTGTTCTAATATCAAATAAAGGTAATATTTACCACAAGCATTCTGATAACGGCGTATTATTGCAACCTTTTGAAATTTACAAACAATCAAAGGTGTTGACACCATTAAATATATATATATATAATAGTACAGACAATGTCTGAAAAGGGCGACGATTTGGATCTACTCTTAGACGAGGCTATGAATATCGTCGATCAACAGGAAAAAGAACATGAGGAAACGGTCCGTTTGCGTGATGCCAAGTTGCAGGAGGACCTTCAGCGTACGCTGGAGGAAACTTCAGCTATGAGCGGGAGTGGCATGCCAAATGGGGATATTTTGAAAATCTTCCAATCAATCCTAGGGGCTGCGGGGTCTGATGAAGATGATACGACTTCTATGGAAAACTTCAAACGTGATGTCGGCGCTCTTGTGAAGTCGCTCGAAGATGTTGATGGTTTAAATAAGGAAGATATGGAAAATCTAGATCGCGTTCGTAATCTCATGAGTGTTTTGGATACCGACGACGACGCTCGCACGCAGGAATTGCTTGAGGAGATGAAGAGCAAAGACCTGACGCTCGGCCTTGACAACCTCGATGTGGAGAACGCGAATGTGGAGGATGTCATGAAGTGCTGCGTGGAGTCTCTCCAGCAGTTTACATCAGCCACTGAGGGTCCTTTAAACGAAAATACTGAAGCCGTCTCATTGGAGGCCTCCAAAGTGCCCGAAGCGACGGCGTCGAACCCTCAATCTAGCACAGGGACATTCATATCCTTGCCTTCTCTCGGTGATGTGCCTGAAAACATTGCAAACATGCTTTTAGATACCATCTTAAACTCGGAATTTGTTGAGCCTATTAAGTTGATGCGAGATTCTTACGAACCGTATTTAGTGGATAAAACTTCAAAACTTTCTGAGGTAGACTTGGAGAGGTATCATGCGCAGCACGCCATGGCGAAGAAGATTTGTGATTTTCTTGTCGTGCCTATCGATAAAGACGACCATGACCGCATCACACAATTGCTAGAATTAATGTATGAATTTTCTAATCTAGGGGAGCCTCCGGCAGACTTAACAGAGTATTCCCCTAATAAGAGAACAACAAGTTCATAAGAGAAAATATTCACCTTACTGTTGCTTATTGCATACCTGAAAAGAGTGTGGTAAGTTAAAGCAATTATGATATTTATTATGGGGTTGAATCAGAAAGGGAAACATTTTTCAATAGTGATGATGAAAAAGTTTAGGAAATTGTTATTCCCTAGCTGGTGGACAATCGCCATGTTTATATTCATATTTTCCAAGATATATCTATTATTGAGATAAACACAAGACTGATAACTTTCACTAAATTTATCCTTAACCTTGAAGGTAAGGAGTCATATTTGCCTATGAGCCAAGTAATCCAACGTAGCAACGATATGGCGCGACACCCGAAAAGGACATGTAAAGACATAACGCGGTTTGATAAACGCATAAAGGTACAGATACTAAATATAATAAAAGGAATGGAACTTCAGAGATTACTTTTGCACTCAAATTTATAGTTTTTTTCTGTTAGGATTCTTTCAGCTTAACGAATAAATTTGTAGCTGAACCTTGTTTGGATTCGCATTTTTCTTTTTCTTTTAGCGACTTTTTGCTATAAAATTAATAATTTATTCCGGTACTCTGGCCTGGTTCAGAAAGGAAGCTACACGCAGATTACCACTAGAAATTAAAGTTAGATATATAAAAGGGGTGAGAGATCGCGTTTTTGAAAATTATAATGGCTAAACGAATGACTGATTCGACGGAAACAGCCCTCACCACGAAAAATGGATCACTTCCGTGGACTGAAAAGTATCGTCCATCATCGTTGGATGATGTTGTTGCACATGAGGAGATTATCGGAACCATGCGGCATCTTATGGATAGCGATAGCATGCCGCATTTACTACTTTATGGCCCACCTGGTACGGGCAAGACAACCACCATTAAGGCGTGCGCGCGTTATCTCTATGGGAAAGCCCGCATGATTGCCAACGTGTTGGAGATGAATGCCTCTGACGACCGTGGGATTGATGTGGTACGGCATCAAATACGGGAGTTTTGCAGCACCTCGTCTATCTTTTCGATGCCCGGGCCCGTGGCCTCATCGACTCTCTCTGCCAAGCCCCTCCACACCTTCAAGCTGGTTGTTCTGGACGAGGCGGATCACATGTCACACGACGCCCAGGCCGCGCTCCGGCGGATTATTGAGAAGTACACGCGAAACGCCCGCTTTTGCATTCTTTGCAATCACATCAACCGGATCATACCGGCCCTGCAGTCCCGCTGTACTCGCTTTCGTTTCGCTCCGGTGTCGAAGGCCGCGATGCTGCCCCGGCTCCGCCAGGTCGTAGAGGGGGAGGGGGTTGCGTACACGACGGAGGGGCTCGCCGCGGCCTTTCAGCTCTCCCAGGGAGACCTGCGCCGGTGTTTAAATACGCTTCAGTCCGCCGCACTCGCGGCCGGCGAGATCACCGCGGAGGCGGTTTACCGCGCGACCGGGAATCCTTCCCCTGTGGAAGTCGTCGGGATTGTCTCCGATGCGCTTTCCGGGGACTTCGCGAGCTGCTGGCCGAGGCTGGAGGCGGCGGTTGTGGATAAAGGCGTTTCGGTGATGGATTTGCTGCGTGAGATCCACCCCATCGTGATGTCGATGGATCTTCCCCAGGACTGCAAGTGCTTTCTCCTCATCAAGTTCTCGGATTTGGAGTACTACGCGGCGGGCGGGGCGAGGGAGGGGGTGGGCCTCTCCGGCATCCTCGGCGCTTTTCAGCTCGTGAAGGAAGCAGTAACGCAGCGCAAGCCCATTAAAGCGGTTCTGGCGGACTTCGTCCGATAGCGTCTTTTCTATTATTATTCTTATCATTATTGAAGTTTTCCTCTCTGTTCAAACGTTTAAGACGCCTCTTTTGTATTAATCATGACACCCGTCCCAACAAAGCCACACTACCAATCCAGCCCACTAGGAAGAGGTTGGTGCGAATGCGGCGTGCGATCCTTAATCTAAATATCCTTTCTTCTTTCTTGTCACCACATCTCCGTTTAAGTTCAGTTAGTTATATTGATCCTTTAGCCTTCTGGGGCATTTTTTTTCCACTTCGTGAGCATCCCTGTTGTTCGCAGCTGTATTATAGCAGAGGGAACTCTGCCATCGTGGCGGGATGAGCTCAAGCGATGATGAAAGTTGGATGGTCCCACCGACCCAACGCCGCCCAACCGCCTCCAACGCGACCGGTGGGATGCTGCTCGCCCGCCAGGAGGCCCTCCGCCGGCAGCGGGAGTCCGCTGTCGCTGAAAAGCAGGGTCGGGGGCCACTCCCGGCCAAGCCCCAGGATGCTGGGTTTTCGTCCCCTCTCGCACCAAGGGGGGGGCCCCTAACGGAGTCTGCCCTGCCGGATTTTCTCTTCGACGCGGACAACGACGGCGGCGCCCCGCCGCCGGGGCCTTCGCTTCCCTCTGCGGACGCACGGAGCGGAGCGGATCCGCAGCGCGTTAGTGAGCAGGAGCTGCAGGGCCTTCGTCGTCAACTGGAAGCCCAAAAAAAGCTGTTGAAGTCAAAGCGCGAAAAGGAATCGGCTTGGGTGGAGAAGTGGCGCGCAGACAAAGCGCAGCGACAGACAGAGATCCGGCAGATCGAGGCTAAGCTGGGTACGGTGAAGAACTCCGTCGAGGAAGAGAAAGCCCGCGCGGAAGTCGAAATTTCAAAGGCCAAAGTTATGCACGAGCGAGAAATGCAGGAAACGCGGCAACGGGTTGAGGAGGAAGTGAAAGCTAATTTTGAGCCACAAATAGTGGAGTTGCAGAGCAAAATTGCAACCATGCGTAAGGAAGAACAAGACCTTCAGGCGCAGCTTGATGCGCAGGGCGGTTCAAACGACCTTGTTCAGTCTGCTATCGCTGCCGCTGTCAGCACTATTTTGAAGGGCGTTGAGGAAAAGTTCTCGAAGGACGCTCTCAAAACGGAGGATTGGATCAAGACGGTGGAAGAACTGGTGCGGCACGAGGTCCGCTCTTCACTTGCGGTTACTGCGGATAGCGAAGCTCAGTCCGAGCGCAACGAGCAGCAGAAAAACTTTGCCGATATCTTAGAGTTTTGGCGCCAAGCCGAGGAGGAGATTCGGGGTCTCATCCAGAAGATGGACGAGGTTCTTTTGTTTGATCTTCAGTCGGGGCTCCAAGAGGATCTCTCTCGCCTCCAGAAAGAGGAGCTTAGTATGGAGGAAGTCTATATCCAATCCCGCGGGACTTGGGCGTCTCAGTACCAGGCTATGCTGCAGGTCGAGGTCGACGCCATCATCCAACGACGAGAGACTGAGCTTGCCGAGTGCCGTAAACTGCGCGATCAGATCCATGTCGAGCGTGTTGCGGAGATCGAGCACAGACATCAGCAGCGGATCAGCATGGAAGATCGATTGCACAAAGAGGAGATGGAGCGGCTACGAGGTCACTTCGCGCAGGAAGAGCAATTCAACGAAGAGCGCCAGCGCATTGCAGTAGCAGCTCAACAGGATATCACAAAGGCCATGGAGTCTTCTAAGAGCGTGGCGGTCTCCATGGAGGCGGTACTGACCTCTTTGAAGGACTATCGTTCGTGCGTGGACGAGGGCCGCGCCGCGTTAGAGTCCGATCGCCACGAAGCTTTGGCAGAGCGCCAGAAAACGCTCGAGTCTGTTCGCGATTTGGTAGCCTCTCTTCAAAGCACCATTGACGCTGACTGCCGCAGTCTTAACGAAGCCTCGTCCAAGCTCCAGCTGTCGAAGGAGCAGATGGAGGAGGAGATGCGGTCGGAGGCATTGTGGCTAACTCAACAGGAGGCAGCCTATACGAAGAGTAAGGAGAATTGGGAGCGGGAGCATCGTCGGTGGAAGCAACTAGTGAAGGATGAGCGACATAACGTCGAGGAGCGCTTTTATAAGGCCTTGGGTGCGTTGCGAGATAGTGTCGCCCAGCTTAGTACTGAAGAACATGAGATTGAAGGGCAATCGTCCGCCTTGAAGCGTGCGTTTTCCGAGATCGAATCCTCCGTTGCTAGGGATATTGCGTCTCTCCAAAATAAACAACGAGAACTGCAGTCTCGGAAAGAGGTAATGAGCGCCGCACTGTGCACCCTTGAGATAAAAGGCGAGGAAATAGTCAAGCAATGGCGCAATTTACAAGACGAACGCACGACTTTGGACTTCGAGTGGGATGCCTTACGGGAGGAGGAGTCAAAACTTCAGCAGATGGCTCATTCATTGGATCTTGTTAACGTTCAATGTGATGCGACTCGTGCCCAAGCCACCTCTACCGCCGAGAACGGCCGTATTCTGCAGCACCATCTTTTGATGAGGAAAGATACTGTAGAACATGGGTTGGCGCGCTCATTTTCCTCAGAATTCAAACAAAAAAGGCATCCCACATCGCCCGCCTCGTATGCAGATCCCTCTGGACACTTACATCAGCCTCACCCTGCGCGTCCTTCGTCCAAGAAGGATCGTCTTCCCCTAAGAACGTTCAAGGAACTTATGCAAAATCTTCAGAATATGGGCGATTTTCCGGAATTCTTACACCATGCCACATTCAACAACGTGATTCCAAGCTTTGAGTCTACTGATGCCAAGCGGAAGAAAAGGGAAATCGCGGTGGTCCCACACAAAGCAAATGAACCTTCGTTGTTAAAAGCACCTGAACGGCGCGATACAGCCAAGTTCGTACCGAAGCACAACCCTACTACTTCAAAACATTCCAGACAGAGCCCAAATCGATCTAAGAGCGCGACCACACATCAGGATTCATTGTCTCCTATAAGAGAAATATCGGTTGCTCCGTCATCCCACGGAGGTTACTCTGTAGGGGATACCTTTACCAATCTTATCAGTTTCTCAGAGGGCGATACTACTTCACATTCCTTCTAATATCTATGGGGCGTGCATAACCAAAAAATGCGCTATTGAAGAACTATGTGTTTATTAAAAATACATCATCTTTACATGACCAGGATCTATAGAAAAATTATACTTATTACCAAACAACAGAGAGCTATACAACAATTTTTAGAGGACGAACTTTACATACTAAATCTTTGACTATTTTATCTATATATATTAATATACATGTGTTTACAATTATTGAAATCTTCACCTTTTTGGTTATTTATATACAAAAAAAAATATAAAGGTAACCAATGAACATAGAACTTCGAACCTAACAATTAGCTGTAGTTTGAATAGAATCCGTCGTGATGTCTTTCAGTTACACATTTTGGTCCAACATTATGTAAAGTATATGAAGATCAATATCACATAGAAAATAAATTTTAAATGTCAAAGTGAATAATAGAATGGAAGTCCTTAAAATTTTATTATTAGTATTATTAGATATAATAAAGATGAATAAAGACTAATAATTTTTTTTATAAAAATACAACGAACAAAAACACATTATTAAAAAGAATGAAAGAACGATTCTTGGCTTGCATCAGCAGGCCTCAGGAGATCTGACTGAGATACCATCATGCACCACTCTGAGTGAGGAACCGAGGGTGTGGAGGGGCTATAGGTGAGGTGGGAGCCTCGTTTCTGTTTGGCTGTTCGGCCGCCCGCAGCGCGCAGCTGATGACTTAACACCACGTGAAAAGCACAGTTTGACCTGATGCAGGGGAACCCTTGCACGGAAGAGATCATCACGAGCAATCCTTTTCTGATGCGCGGCAAAGCGGGCTTCGGAATCGCTGGCGGTAAGGCTTTAGGGTTTACTATGTTGTGGTTTTATCTCTCTGGTGAGTACGATCGGGGGCGATTGTTTCGTTTGCATAAGTGGCGCTCTTATTTCCTGTGTGTTCGTAGCAATGGCTGGGCGTGTTGTGTTTTGTGCGCACACTTCCAGGGTGTGGGTTTTGGTTTGGTTGGTTTCCTTTTCCTATTCCTTTTCCCTTTAGTTTTATTCTCTTTTTTTTCATTAAGATTTTACCTTTTTTCTCATATGTCATCTAAGCAGCATCTTATTTCTACAGTTCCTGAGGGTTCTGGCTCATGGCTTCCTCAAGAACAGTCTTTTGATACATTGCTTGTTCATGCCGGTTCGAAGCCTGATTCTGTCACTGGCGCGATTCTTACCCCTATTTACCAAAGTACCACATTTGTTCAGGAGTCTATTGAGAAATACTGTGATCGCGGCTTCAGTTACACTCGTACATCTAACCCGACTATTAGTGTACTTGAGGAGCGTCTTTGCGCCTTGGATAATGCAAATTACTGCACGGTTTTCTCCACCGGCATGGCGGCGACCACTACTGCTATTTCTTCTTTTATGAACGCCGGTGACCACTGCGTCGTGACGAACTGCAGCTACGGCGGCACCAACCGCTGCTGCAGGCTCTTTTTCACTCGTTTTGGGATGGACTTTACTTTTGTCGACATGCGCGATCTCAAGAATGTTGAGGACGCCATTCGGCCGAACACAAAGTTGGTGATCAGTGAGACTCCTGCGAACCCGACGTTGACTCTGATCGACATTGCGGCGCTGTCGAAGCTGTGCAAGGCGAAGAACCTCATCCACATGTGCGATAGCACCTTTGCCACGCCCCTTATCACCCGCCCGCTCGAGTTGGGCGCGGATGTCGTCTTTGTGAGCACGACGAAGTATGTGGACGGTCATGACATGACGCTTGGTGGAGCCTTGCTCATGAACAGTCAGGACCTGGTGGAGAAGGTGCGTCTGTCGCGTAACATCCTGGGCAACGCGATGACCCCGTATGTGGCGTTTTTACAACTTCAGACCCTCAAGACCCTCTCCTTACGTGTGACAAAGCAGTCCTTGAATGCGCAGAAGATCGCGGAGTTCCTGCTTACCCACCCGATTGTGGAGCGGGTGATGTACCCGGGGCTGCCGAACTTCCCTCAGCGGGAGCTGGCGATGCGGCAGCACCTCAACGATCTTCACGGCGGGATGCTGTGGTTTGAGGTGAAGGGCGGCAGCGAGACTGGGCGGAAGTTGATGAACAAAGTCCCGCGGCCTTGGTCTCTTTGCGAGAACCTCGGGGCGACGGAGAGCATCATCACCTGTCCCTCCGTCATGACGCACGCAAACATGACGTCGGAGGATCGTCTGAAAGTGGGTATCACGGACGGCTTCGTGCGCGTCAGCTGCGGGATTGAGGACTCTGACGATCTGATCGCCGCTCTCAAGTTTGCGCTTGATTTCCTTACTTCTTAGATAGCTCAAAATGAGGGGGGGGGGGGGCGAGAGAGACAAGGACTATATAACCAGGTAAAATAAGGCCCAGTAATGATCTAAATGTTTACATATATTTAAATACGTACTCGTTCATATCAGTATATAATATATAGTGAAACAGGGATAAAAAATCAGTGATAATTTTGATAAGCGATA